AATATTTTTCTTCTGTTCTTTTTTTTTTTCTTTTTTTTTTTTTTTTTTTACTTCAGCGTATTACTTGACAAATTATAGATTTATTAGATAAGATGAATAAAGAGTCTGATTAAGAGATATTGATTAAAGGTGAGATAGGACGATCGATTCGTTGCAGAATAAGATATCGATCGCAGAATGATAAAACTCGACTATAATTTGAATATAATTTTAGCACGAGTAATATCGTTGAATCTCTGAAAGTTATTCTCAATTTTTATGACTCTTAATTGATGTAGTTAGACGAATCGCTTATCACGTAGTTATGAATGAATCGATAAGTTGTCGCGGAGTAATTAATGGCGTTAAAAATAATCATCGAATGTAAACGATAAACATCTTAGCTATTTCAATCGACTCTTAGTATTGTGAATTTTCAGAAAACACTAAATACGAAGTGAAAACTTGCTAAACCTTGATAATAAGGTGACAAAGTATGAGCATTAGTTATCGCAAAAGGATACGCTATCGCATTCTTACTAATACACGCTTGTTCGAATAATTTAATGATAAAAGCATTGGGATAGTTTGAATTGAAATGCGAATCTAACATTTTTCATTTGCATAAAATCTTTTAATTCGGCTTATTCGACATCGTAATTCGATCGTTCGCGCTTTAGTAAAACGACAATTAAAGAGTTAATGAGCGAAATTTGACTAGGATTTACCGTGTGCAAGATTTTACTTACTAACTTCAAAATCTTATAATCCTCTTTGCTTTGCATTGCTATATAATACATTTTAACTGCAAGAATCCATTTCAGTGGTTCATGACTCTTCGGTTACATAATCAATATCTTTCGCTTAACGATATAAATACAATTATTTTCCTCGATTACGCAGTTCTTTATTTTACCGTCAACTTACCTAAGGATTTAACATAACCGTAATACTGCGTGTTTTTATTACAATTGTCTTGGTTAATCATGAAATTAATATTATACTTTCTCCAAAATAGTATTCGCATACTTGGTCAATATTGTATAATCGTTAGTCATACATTTTATAATATTCCGATTATTATGCAATGTAACGTATCGTGTAATATTACCAAACGTAAGCTACGATATTTCTCACGAGCGTATTTCAAGTTCAAATTCACATGATTATACTTATAAAATGGAAGAAATGAAAGAAAATAAAAAAATCAAATGAAACGCAATTTACACTTTCAAATAAAATTTTTTTATAAATTGTCAAAACAAAAATAGTTATTAATTACAGTACGTGTAAAAAAAGAAAAAAAAGAAAAATGAAAAATCAATGTACCTTCGTAGATTGATAGATTATAAGAATTTTAGAATTAAATGTTTAAAATAAGACGAAGGTTTTACAATTAAAAGTAACTTTTTCCTTCTAATTAAACGATAAAATGAGTAAAATATTAAATTTATAAAAGTATGAAAACAAAGCAGCAGCAGCTGCAACAAGAATCGCAATAGTAATGAAGTGTGCCGTACAATAAGAGGGAAATGAAAACGATAAAACAACTCGGCTTGCACACGCATCGTCAACGTTAACATTTAACTCGAACTAGAACATTATCGATTATAAACTTTCTACGATTTTCAAAATGGTTTAATAATAAAACCTCGTGGTTCCATCGCCTACTAATGCGCCATTTAATTATGAAATTGGCAGAGAGGGAGGGGTTGTGTGTGTGTGTGTATATATATATATATATATATATATATATATATATATACACACAACCCCTCCATTATTTAGCTTACATATCTTACCTATCGTACCTGCAGCATAATTAATTATTTTGATGATCCGATCATTAGCTATAATATGAACATTAAGGTAAGAGTTACGCAGTCTCTTAAACAATTGCACCTATCATTTACGTGTAAAACTGCGTTGTCCGCTCTAATCCTGCAAATCATAAACATAGAGCATAAACACCGCCCACTCCTCACAACGAAATGCTTTTCTTATAAAACAAAGCTATGTAAATGCCGAGGAGTTTGTTCGTGACTCTGGGACAAGGAGCCATGAGACGCGTATCTCCAGGTAGACGGCCAACGCGCTCAAAGGTTCCTGCGCTTGGGCATGGTTTGGCCCAATAACGAGCGTTTCGTCAGCATGGACGGCAGCCAATTATGAAAATAATATCGACATAACTTACGAAATAATTGGACGCATCGGGAGGGACGGGGGAGATCAATGGAGAAAGAAGGAAAAAGCCTTGACACGGCTCGTGTTTGAAAGCACTTCGCGTCCTCGCTGTAGCATTACGCTCGATCGGCGTCCACTCGAGCCTCGAGCGCGAATACGCAAATGCGCGTTAACATCGGGGGCTATTCGATTAGTAGTGTGCCGCCGGCATATTACATAAGGCACGAGGTAGGAGGCGAGAGAGAATGAGGACAAAGCGGCCGCGAGTTGAAAAAGACGAGTGGAGCGCCTTCGCTCCCTGCCGAACAACAACAATGAGCTCCCGGATCAGCGACCAGTATCAGGACTAGAAGGCAATCGATCCTGCTCGGCGCAGCTCCGTCAGGCACAACAAAGATGGGTGAACAACCGCGGTGGCGAGTAGGGCCCCGTTACGTAACGTAGCCCCCCCCCCCCCTCTCTCTCTCTCTCTCTCTCTCTCTCCACCTCCCCCTCCCCCTCTCGCCGATCCTGGGAGAAAGTTGTTTCGACAGAGCCGTCGACAGCCACGATCGAGACGGTGCGGCGGCCCTCCCCCTAAGCCTACGCGTGCGCCTGCCTGCACTTATGTCACTCGGTTGCTTATGCCATCGGTCCCAAAAGCATACTGTGCCGTGGCACTGACGTAACCTACGCGCGTACAACGATCCATCGGCTTTACGACACCGCCGTCGCTCGACCCAAGGGAATCCCGCCGGCCTTTCTTTCTAGGCCGGCACGGGCTGATCCTCCTGACCTACCCCCGCCCACCGCCGACCGCCTCCTTTATCCCGAGGGGCAGCGGCCGTATAAAGAGCGCGGTTGTCGGCCCCGTCGGACGCATCCTCGCTGCGGGGACGGCATCCCGCGCGCGGCACATCCGAGGTCGACGAGCGATCACGGTCGAAAGTCGTCACGTGTACGGACGCACCAGCCAACCGGGATGTCCCGCCCGATGCCTACCCGAGGCCGAGGCTACCAACCTACCTACCTACCTACCCGCATCTCGCACTCCCAAGACGAATAAGACGTCCCCCGGTACGCCCCGGCCGCCCCTCCCTCAATCGACTCGCCGCCGCCAGATCGCGAGCGAACCCCGAGGCCCCAGTAGTAGCCGTAGTCCCTCTCAAAGAGGCCGATCATAAAGAGGTAGAACGTTGTTGCAGACAGGGAGTCGAGTAATTTCCAGCAAGTCGACAACAGGACCACCACGAGGAGCGACAATGGGTGCCGTCGAGTACGTTACCGAGGAAGACGATTACGCTTGCACGCTGTCGGAGGATACTCAAAAGATGGCGAAGGAGGAGCTTCGGGAGGATAAGAATACGAGAGACCAGGCGCTGGAGCAAGTGAGAAATTGGATAAAGTTGAATCCGCGCATCGAGAACAGCAGAATGGGTAGGTGAAGACTTTCGAGCCTCGGTTTAACGAGCGGAGCACAGAGCCAATGGCCATTCCATTATCATCCCTCGTTATTCAAAATCCGACGATATTCGCCCGCTCGTTTAACTTATTATTTAACGGGAGCGCGGCCATCGTCGTCCTCCGCTCTGTCACGAGTTTTGCGAAATTTTTAATTCCCTTTGCCTCGCGCAAATTTCTAGACGGACGCTTCATTCTGAGATTCTTACGCTCCAAAAAGTTTAACGTGCCCATGGCTCAGGAGGCTATCGAACGATATCTTCTTCTGCGCCAGGTTTACCATCCTGCCTTCCACAAGCTCAACATCGACGAGCCGAATATGGCCGAACTCTTGAATTTAGGGTAAGACCGGCCGATTGATTGAGAAAGAAAGAAAAAAAAAAAGGAACAAAATCCCATATGTATTAATGAACTTTTTACGCTTACATTGCTCAATCTACCGAAATAATTCATAAATAAGCGATTCCAGTTTATTTGAATTTTTATCTAATCCTTGGTTAATCGTCCAGTACGAGCGCGTCATTTTTATTATCATTATATGTACAGATGAGGATGAGGTATGCTTTGACAAGGATTTTGAAGTCGGATATTCATTGGTGAACGCGCGCGTGAAATGCATTTTATCATCTGGCCAGCGCAAAACCTCCGAGAAATCGATATCATAAATTTTGTATATTATGAAACGAAGCTTCGCCTAGGCTCTCGATAAATGGCTTTTAGAATTGTAAAATTTTTATTTCCATGATTACATCCATGATTTATCGAATAGCGTTTCCAAAATTTTTCTTAAAAAAATCTTGTCTTTAAAATTTTCATTGGGTGAAGAAAATAATGGAGATAAACAAATGAGGATTAAAAGCGTCCTTTTTTTTTTTTTTTTTTTTGTTCTCTAATCAGTGGAAATAGGTTTAATCAGTTCGTTAAATTAAGCAAATTTATTGCCTGAAAACTGACGTTTCGATACCCTCAGTTAAATATAGTATCGCCAATTCGTCGACGTTTAATTTTGTTCGTTGCAATCCGTAAACACGAGCTGCGCTAAAAAACAAAACAAAGAAAAAAAAGCAAACAAAACAAAACAAAAATTAGCTATTTATCAATGAATGATATATTTATTCGCCTATAAAATTTACTGCTCGTAGTATCATAATGTTTGTTGCGACATTCCAAGCAAAATAACTGCCAGGAAATTATACTTTGTCCGCGATTTACATTAAATTAAATTTTTTATAAATATGTAGAAAGATATTGAAGCATAATACGCTTGGATGAATTTAAATTTGTGGTAAAGTAAAAATACCAATTCTGGAACATTAAATTGTATAATAGTTATGTTGTATATTTTTTTTTTTGGGTGTTTTTTTTTTTTTTTTTTTTTTTATATATAGCCACAACGAACCGACTACATTTCAACTCATTATGTATCATATAAATTCATTTCATAATCAATGCGTAAAAAATATCCAAGTATATAAAAAAAAAAAATTATATTGCAAAATAAATGAGCTAATCTAAGGTGTCCCCTCGTTTTTCAATGATCTTTGTCTAAAATTGTTCTAACTATGCAAATATGCTTTAATAAGTATCGAAGCAATGCAATATATTAGATAGAAAGCATTTAATAGGATATTCTATAAATATTCCGAGTGAATTAATTATAAGACAATAAGAATTCTCGAGTATATCGAGTAAAACAGGTTAAAAGATTGGGATAATGATTTGGTAATGTAGAGAAGCGTTTAACTAAACTGGTTTTCACGACATAAAACTTAAATAATACATTCATCAATAATATTTATATATATATATATATATATATATATACGCACGTTATGTAAAAATAACACAAATTTCGTCCATCATTAGTTGAGTTAGTTAGCGTAAACGCATAAATAAACATCGACATAAATGTCGAACAAAAAAATTAAAATTTACTCTGCAGTGTAATATATTATGTAATATCGTATTATATAATTAGTATATAATATAATATTACGTATATAACGTTACATTGCATCATATTTATTAGCATGTGCTGTAATAATAATACGCAAGTTATTAGGAATTTACGAATTGATTAGGCTTAGCGTATTTTTCGTTTTTAAATCAATAACTTTCTCTATTAATTGAGGTGGTAAGAGAGGGGAAATACGATTGTAGTAGAGCACGCATTAAGTCGACGTAAGCAGCACTCAAATTTGTTTAATATTAACGTTTTAATAAAAATTCCAAGATTTATTGGGAGTAATTTTTTAGCGCTTGTCTAGCGAGTGAATGCTTGGATTGATTAAAATTTTATCCGCCACGTATTAACAGCCCAAAATATAAATCACCGATAGACGCCATTACGTCTTCGTATTGGTATTTTTATTTTGCATATGTAACTTGTGCATCACACGATTAAGAAAATCTGTAAATGCATTTTATATTGTTCCAGCTACCTATTTGCTGTTCCCGGCCGAGATACCAAGGGCCGACGCATTGTTGTGGCAAGACCTGGTAAACGACTGTCGCCCATGCGATCCCATGACAAAGAAAAAATGAGATCATATAAGCAACTTATTTGTCAATCTTACGTTTAATAATCGTCATACATTCATCTCTTTATATTTCAACGCACTGCTCTCAAACCTTATAATCCGAGGCTCTAAAAATTTGATAATTGCAAAATTTGAAATATTCGGACGTCGATGAATTTGTCAATAGATTCAATTTTTAGTCTCGGTGGGGCGGGGAGGGGGTGGGGGGGGGGG